CTTTCTGCAGAAACAGGAATAGCACCCTCCCTTTGTCCTATTTCCTGCAGGGTACTTTTGCCTATACTGTTTTTGTTGTTCTAGCACTGACAAGCTCTTCAACTGTAGCTGCAGGAGGGAATATTTAGCAGACCAGCTATATGAATAAAGAGAAAAGTCATTCTTAAATCTTAGTCCTTTCATACTAGAATGCTATGAAACAAAAGTAATTGCCAACTATAGCTTAAAGCAAAACAGAAGGGATAAGAAATAAATAAATCAATAACTTGCAAGGTAATCTGATGTRTTCTAGTTTATTCAAATGAAACACTGTACAAATCACAATACACTGTGTTTTGCACCCTTCAAATATCTCGAATTAACAATCTTTTAACAGGCAAGGAAGATTCACCAGGACATTTGGCAAAGGTAAGCTGACTGATTTACAAGCTAAAGAGCCGTACCTTCATTGTGCCCAGAAAATATGAYATCCAAGACACATTTTAACCTCTTGCAGAAATAGGTCAGTTATCAACATGACCCAGAAACACAGAAATACACTTATTTTGGAAAAAAACACATTACTTTTTCCCACCACTGTTCAAGACTCTGAAAAGGATGAACTCATAACTGCTTTTGCCTCCCACCTTACACATCACTGATATTAGAAGCATCATGTTCCCATTCATCAGAGGCCTAAATTCTCATTGCTTAACTAAAGGGAAAAGAGATATTTCAAAGCAGTCTAAAAATACTAAACAATAAACTAATGCCTTTGCTTCMGAAGTAAAGAAAACTGCTTCTGTCAAAACTGGTATAAAATTGTTCAGCAATTCACAGATGTGAAGGTAAAAAAATAAAATCAATTAAGCATGATAAACTTAACTTSATAAAAAAGCTAAAGAAATCAGGGGCAAGGCTTCCTACTTGCCACTATTACTTTCAGGGAAAAACCTTAATTTTGTGCTGCTCAGTATAATAAGACTGAGTGCAAGCCCTTTATCTGAATGTATCTTTTTTTTCTTCAGAGAAAGGAAGAACTACAATAATTGCACTGAGACAATTACTTGTTTTTGCCTGACTGCTCTATCCTTTACTTTATCTTAGTCCTTGAATTACAAATATCACACTCTTATAATCAATATGTTTTAGATGAATTCAAGTTTGCTTTTCACTAATGTAGCATCTTTTAAACTAATCAGATTACACACTGAAGGTCTGCATTCTTATACATCCCTCAGTGTCAATTTCTTCTTTCCTAATTTTAAGGAAAATTTGGTTCAGAGAGGCAACCACAGCAGTTCCAACTATGAGCACTGCTTCTACTCTTATTTCTGCAAGCATCAGCTAAAATGTTGTCAGACTTTGATGCAAGGCATAAACACAATTTTGTTAGTGACACCTCTGTCATGATGTAGCCCAACTTTTATTTGTCAATCAATATGGTTACTAATAGATATAGACATCACAATATTTATGGTTGCACTTGGTCTCATTTTAAAAACACTCCTTTCATATGCAAAACACATTTAAGAAACCCCTACAATGAATTAAAGGTATTCTTTAATGTATCCTCCAAAAAAGATCACATGGTTTAGAATTCAGAGCAAAGTTTTACACCACAGTTCAAGCATTTCCAAGGCTCTGTTTCAGAACTTTGAAGTTATTCAGGATCCAGATAACCTTGGTTCCTTTTCCTATTCATGTCCAAAACAAACACAGGAACTTGCATATGCACAATACATACTCTCCACAGAAGTTTCCTACCATTGGCACATTTCTACAGTGAAGTCAGATTCTTGTACACAGTAGCAGAATTTGCTCCTTCTCTCTGGTTTAGAAGTGTTATTAGCTAACTAACTAATATACCTAGCTATACTATAATTTTTAAAAATCTCTGTATTTTCAAGGATTTCATTTGTATACTCATGTCCTGGATGCAGGATTAGAAGTGTTACACATACTTTTTAAGGTAGTTAACAAGCAGAACTCTCAGCGGTTTTGTGACTCCAGAACAGTTTTCTGTAGCAGCTTTTTGCATAAATCAAGTTTGGTTATAATTCTCTGACAGGATAAAAGACAGACTGTGCTACAAAGGGTRAGTAACTTATGTTCATCGTTTCCTTTGGCTTCTTTCCCCAGTTCCTCAGTTTCAGAGAGCTGGATTACATACTCATTCCTGATGAGTCACATTCTAGGAATACCAGAAGATCCTGAGTTTAATAAATTCATTTCACTTTTCTGTTCAGTTTCCCATTAAGTAAAAAAATAAAATTGTCAACATATGTAAATCTTTCCGAACCCTAACTAYGTGTCCATACTAGTATACAACTTGRAAATTGAGAGGTACCAACTGGAAAATCCAAAGAAAAATAGTGTTTAGCCACACAATGCATAAAGATCTCATTTACATAAAGATTTGTCAAAACAAGTATCTTAAAAGATTGCACACCACTAAAAACAGTTCWGTTCACTGTCCAAATACAGTAATTCCAGACTACACCAGAGAGAAAGAGGTGATTACAAATGTTACCACTGAATGCACAAAAAATGGTAGAGATTCCCCTRATGCCTCATGCAATAAACTGTTATGAAGATGCTTGGGAACTGCTTGTCCTAACTGCAGTGGCCATATGGAGTAATCCCAAGCTGATGCCTAGGATTTGAGAGTGTCTCGAGTCTCAGTATTCAAATAAACAGTCATACTTCCATGTTTAACACTTGGAATTCACATTCATGYTTTAAGGCTGCTCAGTGCACTAAACATATGCAACATCTTATAGAAATACTTCGCAGTTTACAGTATCAAAGACTAAAGTTGTTTTTGCAGATTTAAGAAAAGTGCTGAACTCATTTTTCTTCCTGAAAACTTTCTACTAAGCAAGCAGTCAGGAATGATCCAGTATCTGCTTGGCAAATCTGACTATTTAAAGGCAGAAAAACATTTTTTGAATGCAAGCTCTGGAAAGTAATTTATATCCCTATTTTCCATTCCCTTTTATTGCAACACATTTTCCTGCCAAAATAATCCATGCAAGAATGCATGACTGAAGGAATCTGCTCAGAGTTCAATAGTGTACTGTCAACTCCCTTAGTCTGATATATGACTCTTAATTGAGGGAATTGCATCTCTTGCTCTCCTTTTTTTTTGTTTTTTTTTGTTTTTTTTGTTTTTAAGAAGATTTTTAGGAGTGGTTCCAAAGAAAGAGATAATGAGGAATAGCTGAAAAAAACTGCATCTCCAATGCTCTGTGACTAGTTCCATAAAAGCTAGCAGTCATCATTGAGGAAGACAAAGCCTCTGCATTTTGCAAACAGTAAAAATTCTACACTTTGTGTGACTTAGAAGTTACATCTGAAAGTGGATAGATGAAACTGACAAACTCCACTCATGCAACAGAAATTGAATTCTAAATATACGGTATCTGATGAGTTTTAAGTAAACACTAAGGCTACAAGCATAGCTAGATTCCCCCTTTGCTAGGAGAAAGACAAAAAAGGAAGGCATACCCTTGCAAAGTACAGTATTTTCCAAAATAACTGTACACGAAAAAAATATTTGGAGAATGCATACTGCAATTGAAAACAACCAGAATAAACAAATTCTTACAGATTAATGGTTTCCTATCTATTTAATTTCTTTATTATGTTCCAAACAGAAAAAATAGAGTATTTCTGAAAACAGCTGACTATATATGGCATTTCCCACTGAGGAATCCTACAGTAATGCATGCAGTGTAAAGTAATAAATGTTTGCAGGACTGAGTTCTAAATATATTTGCTCGATATTTCAGCAAAGTCACAAACAGTCACCATTGCTTGACAATAAAAAGATAATATTTTAAAAGATCATTGTAATAAATGAAAATATTTATTATTAGTCAATTATTTTCACAATTACTCGTATTTTGGTTACCTAAGTCTGGGGTTTTCATCCTGTATTTGAAACCCATAATTAAAAGGTCATTCTATGGCAGCCACATAATACAACAAAAGCATATTTTTCAGAACAATGTTTTTTAGCAACACAAAACTTATATCACTAGTTTTCTCTCTCCTGCCCCCCAGAAGTGCACAYGCTGTCACAGTTCAATGACTACAAAATTAACTAAACCAAACCTTTCAAGACTCTAGGGGGAAATGTCAGTTCACCCAGGATCGAGAGCATTCAGTTACTGTATTCAAACCACCCGTGCTCAACAACTTCATAAAATAATGACATTGGTTCATATGTTGGAAATTGTGTAGATTTCTAACATATCATAGCTGAGCATTTCAGAARGAATTCACTCAACACAGGGGATGTAGGAATAATTGCTAGATGTGTAGAAGAGTAAATTCCAGTTCCAAAAGAGTCCTTCAAAACATCAAGTCAGGAATTTTGGGGGGAAAAGTCAGCTTGAACAGATATTTACATATTCAGCTTGCACAAACCAGGTTTAGTTACAAGACCAGCACTCAATCTATATGAGCTCCAAGACAGCATCTGCAAATATATTTGTGGTATTTAAACAAGCAAGACAAACWGTTGATCACTGGCACATTTATCACATTTTGTGCTTTAGATTCTTTTCACAGCACTAATCCATTAGGAAAAAAAATACACGCACACAAATAACACTCTTGTCTTATCCCTAGCTAAAAGCTGATTCAAGTATTGCAGTAATTTTTAACCCTGCTGCTTAGGTAGAAATTATTTTCTTGCTTTGTGGGCTTTTTAAGGCACATTTTTCAGCATTGTCACATTTCAAAAACAGTTGCTTTGTTTATCATTCTRAGCTCTTCTTCACCAGCACTTCACRCACTTCCTCCCCTTGGACATTGCCTAAGCTCTGTCACGAAAGTTTGCAACTGTTTTGGAGCAATCCAAGTCCCCACAAAGACCAGAATGTGAAGAAACAATGGGAACACAGGATAGCTGCTCCAATAAATAAGCTGATTGCCCTACATGGCAAGGGTTTACCACACAGGTTATCCRGCACCAGAAACTAAAGTTATGTTTTCACTCACAACTCGCTTACCTCCCGCAATTCAAGCCTCTGAGCCACTGCTTCCAGACTTTCCTGGCCCGTGCTTTCCACCGACAGCGTGAACTCCACAAATTCATTGTTGAGCAGCTGGATGCGAGCCACCAAGCAGCTCTTGCTGGATACTGTGTAACGTCGAGTTCGTTTCAATTTTAACCCAAAAGGTAGAGGCATCTTCTTTTTTCCCCAGAGATGGTCAGTGATGAAGAGCTACCAGCACTGAGACCTTGAGAGGGGACAATAAGTTATCTCCTCTCAGAAGGTAAGGAGCTGTAAAGTCTCCAGAGATCAACCAGCAGCAGCAGTATCCATTAAAGCCAAGCAAGTTTTCCACCAAGACACAAGAAGAGACATCCACTGGAGTCCTAGCGAGGAACAAAAGAAAAAGAGAATACAAGAATCAGAAATACTTTGACTGAATGGGGAATGGTATCATGGGAAAAATAACATGTATATTTTTTTCTAAATCTAAATAACTTACCTTTCCAAAATGCAGAGCTGCAATGTATTCRAATAATGAAATAAGTACCAGAGTTTCTGGTTTTTCCACAGACTACATTGGTTTTGGCAAGTTCATCGCTATTTTTTTAAACTTGCAAGTGAATAATGATCTTAGTCAGGTGTGACTGCAATGTCTTAAAGTGAGTATAAACTGAATCGGTATTTCAACAAAATATGTCTGTGATACCTGAGTTGGTATTTGTAATATTGAACAAGGACATTTTCTTTAAGAGCAAACCCAGCAATCTGGCTTGTCAGAACGTTGTGCAGCATCAGCCACTGTCTGCTGATGGATTCAACACAAAACCAAGCGCCATAAACGATAAAGGAGAAAAAGAGAGGCAAGGGAGGCGTGAAAACGCACACCTTAGCCATTTCCTACCAGACAATTAAAGTGCAATTCCTCTAATTTTCCATGGACTACAGCAAGCTGGACCATTATTCCTCATGCTAAACTTCTGTATTATGCTTCAAGTTATGCTTTGGTTCACCTACAGAGTATGTGAATTCTGAGAACCATTTATTTTCTAATTTTTCTTTGAAAAGCATACTCTTACCCAGACTACAGGTAGCCACCCACTTCCCCACCTTTTGCAAACACCTTCAGGCCTCCTCTCCTGCCAACTCCATCCCAAACTTTGCCCTTCTCCTTTTCCAAGTGCTTTTTTACCGCACAAACCCTCATCTGTGAAATTTGTCATAGCGCCACGGAAAGGTTTGGGCCGGAAAGCGCCTTAAAGATCACCCAGCTCGCCGGCGCTGCCCCGGGCAGGGATGCCATTSCCGAGGCTGGGCAGGGATGCCATTSCCGAGGCTGGGCAGGGATGCCATTCCCGAGGCTGGGCAGGGATGCCATTCCCGAGTCACATTGCTCTGCCCTGGGCTGGGCTGTGCGAGGCGGCCGCGGGAGCGACTCCGGTGCCACGCCCGGGC